CCAGAATATCGTTTTCACCTAATTTCCTTTACATGTACACTACCACTACTTAAATTAAATGACAAAGTGTATGTAACGTAATTCATTCATTTTTAGCTGGTGCGGATATATGGATGTGATGTCTATGTCAAAGAAACAAAAGTGTTTTATGTATTTAGGCTGTATTTTGTGTCCAAACAACTGACTGAAATACATCTGGATGATGTTCACAATGTCTTCAACTTCTGAAATAATACATTTGACATGATCTAAAAAACAACTGCGGATGTACAGCTACTTTATTCCATGTGGTTTGCACCATTATCAATACTCAGCCATCCATCATCTGCTGCAGGTGTTGAATTGGGAGAAGAAGCTGTCGTCAATGGATCCTCTTTTCATATCCGGGTTTTGTCTGTGCGCTTAAATCCACCGTGCGCGTATACGAATGAATAACCGACTGTTGTCTGCGAGTTTCCGCCAGCCGGACATTGGTGCTGTCCAGCTGTCGTCTCAGCTGCTTGTTCAGTTTGGCTTGCCGCCTCTCCAGTAACAGAGCCGCACGGCCCGAGTCCAAACGCACCCAGATCGTCCTCACTTTGTCGTTAAAAATCCTCTCCCGTCTTTCGGTCTCTCTGTCGCGACGCGTTTGCAGATTCATCCTCGCGACGCAGTCCGCGGCCGATTCGACGTTAAACATCGCGACCGGAAAACGGTTTTTGAAACGGATCCCCCGTAAGACGCCTCAAACTACGCTACTTCTTGTTTACACTCTGGTTGCTAAGAAACCAAAAGGTCGCGAGCTCTCGTGAGACTTGGTATTTATTCCGTTAACAATCACACATAATGGCATGTCATATTTTTAACAAACATTTCTTTCATATTGGATTATCAAAGCATTGTGACCTGTCACTTGTGTTGTGCATAAATGGAAATTAGGCAATATTGCAAACATTATTGACATAATGTTGCATCCTGAACTATCCTAATGTAGAGAGACAAATTATTATTTTTTATTACTATTTTCAGAGAAATGTGCTTTAATGAAGTTTATTCATAATTATGTGTCCAAAATATTCGACACAGCCAAAAGTAATGAAATTGATCAATATATTGATTGAGACCATAGGCAAAAGATTATAGTAAAATAGAATAGTTTGACAGTACAGAATGTCATAAAAACACCTTTTAAAAAAGGTCACGGAATAATATGCCGTAGATATGTCATAAAGTTACAGCATGATATCTGGATATAAAATATCAAACAATCATAAATTATTTTAACAAAGGCATTCTTTGAGTTTCATTTTCATAATGTTTTTCCACTGTATTGAGCAGTTTCTGAGCAGAGCATCGACACCATGAGGAGACGCTGAGTAAACGCGTTCTCCATCTCTACCAGTAGATGACAGTATACGTGTATTTAAACCATCGATTTGATTACATTTTCTTGTGTCTGTTTATCTTCTCTGTTAATGAGATGGATGCATGCAGTGCTGTTGGTTTCATGTGATGTTTAGCCTTAGGCGACCATAGTTGTATACATCACTGTTCATTTCATTTAGGAACAAACACACCTCCAAAGAAGAGGGAGTACTGGTTGAACGCAATGCAATACCTTAAGACAATTAGAAAATTGAGACTTTTGGCTTATTCCTATTAAACATAAAGCATAATTAACCAACAATATTATTGTATTTTTCACACTTCAATCCTGAATTGATTAGTTAAACCGAAGCGGTCCAAGGTTAGAATAAATGATTCAAGAAGACCTATTTTCTAATATTTTCTACTTGTGAATAGGTCAAAAATATAATGTATGAATGTTAGGAACAGCTCTGTCTCCTGTTGCAAACCTTAAATGTCCTGTTTTGATGAACGTCTGAACGAAGAATCAGGACTGAAAGGCTCTTGAGGTTCTAGAGCTTGCAGGCCTCCAAATTTTTAAAACTCAAACACTTTTAAGAGTCTTTTAAATGTTGACTCTTTTTATTTTCTCTTTTTTTTCTTGATCTATTTTTTAACCTTTTAACTTCTTTTAAAGTTTGTATTTTGTAAATTCCAACCAAAGACTAGTTTTACTAATCTCTGAGGGGCCCAAGATCAGGAATCATGGACATTTAAGACGGTAAGCTAAAGGTGTAATCGTTTCATTGTGCTATTGGACAGAAGACACCAACTGATAAAATTGTAAGATTGACAGCCTCAAACACGGAAATGATCCGCATGCGTGAAATGTGGATGGCAGATGTACAGGAAATAAACATTTAAGCACACAAAAGCATAGTGTTTCTGACTAAGCTTAAGCTAGAGCCTTATTTGTAAGAAATTAGACAAACATTTTGAATAACAGACTTGCCACAAGCAAATGTTACAACCATGTTGTTCAGTGTTGTAATTTATTAACTGGCTCCTCTCGTTTATCATACATGAAGTTCCATTGGGATTGTACAGCTCGGTCTCTAGCAGCTACATTGGGGTCAGATCTCATTCTGTAAAAGTCACCTCAGGAACACCTGCCTTCACACGATTACGGCCGTTACACTCAGTTGCACAGTTTAGCTCGTCAATTAGTTGCAACCTGCCGATTTGCCTTCTTTATGTTCTGTTATGGAATATTTCAATAAAAGCTCGGTAGAAGAGAATGATTTGTCTGATAAAACAGAGTCTTGATGAATGATCAAAGTTGCAAAAAGTCCATTTATTGCTTGCAAGCAGGAGGTCAAATACACAGGCACGTATCACGGTGCTCTGTGGAAATGGCGTCTCCGAGCAGTAAAAGCGCTGAGATTTTATACACATGTGAAGGACATTCTCTGTGCCACTTACGAGAAGCTGCAAAGCAGGTTGAGATAAGAACCCAGGTGAAGCTGAGGGTAGCACACACACACACAAGATCCTCCTCAGTGGCCGGTACAAATCATAATTAATTGACATAAAAGTAAAACTTGGATCCGGAACTTTCGTACCGAATAAGATATGAACCAAGGCCATGAACAGAAGTCCTTTGTTTTGAAGCTTCTATGAGATCGAGTCAACCGTCCTCCCTTCTCAAGACACAGCTGCAAACTAACATTTTGTATCATGCTGCTCTTTGCACATCAGAGTCAAATACAGGACACTTGAGACACGGCTTTAGTACAAAACGATGTTATAATATATTTTTACCATTACAGTTCCCACAATGAACGACATGTTTCCCAAAAACAAAAGTTTGGTTACAGTAAATGATCCCACACTTTATTCAGTAACTTGTTTAACCAGCCAGGCAGCGTTGAGAGAAGCCTCACTGTTTTAGAAAATGTATTACAACAACCGATTTAATAAATGTTTATTTCCAAATTATACAACTATATAACACCCTTAACAAAAAAGATGTGTAGGGCTCCACAGATGTCTGCTTTGAATACAAAAAACTACCAACCCACATATATATCCACATTAAGTCCCAGCTATTGAACACATCAAGACTCCTTTTAACGCTCATTATGATAAACTAAAACATAGTTTCCATTGCATAACCTTTACAAAAAAAACAAGACAAACCATTAATAATAAATGACCCATTGTGCTGTAGCTTTTAACCTGTTGGGAACCAGTTATTGACAAAACTACCATGGTTGGAGGAGGCTTTGCTTAAGGGGTTGAACTCGGACAATGATGAACGGATGAACGGTTGAACACGGATGTTTATTCATCTATAGGTCATTCTGTTTTAATCTTTATTGACTGCTGTTCCATTTACTTTTCCTTTTATCAGTTTATTCGACTTTCTCTGTAAGGAGTCCACTTCAGCATCAGCTAACTTTGCACTAGTAAGTGTAAATGAATGACAAAGAAAAACATTTATACTATATATTCAAACCTAATATCCACCCAACAGCACCAAACACATGCAAACGTTTTCAGATGTAGAATTTGCAATCATTGGCTAATGGTTATAGAACTAAAACCTTAAAGTAGCAATGACGTTTATTTCTGTTCTGACCATTTACCAACAAGTTTTTAGGGAAAATAATTTCATATAATATTTACAAAACATCTTAAATAAGTAGTCAAACTTCACCGACTTCCTTTTTACACACTTACAGGTGAAAGTATCCACTGACCCATGAAAAGAGAAGTGAGACAGACACACAAGCACACGCTTTTAAAATGGCTTGATGATGTTTTGGATTTCCCATTTTTGGCCAGAGCATTCTTGTATTAGAAGTTGGCCTTTTTTAATCTCCAGACATTTTTTTGAGTCTCTGTTCTTCATTTCTTTGCTTTGAAAAAAACAGGTGTTGAGTGTCAAGCATGAGGATGCAAAGTCATCATTTGAACGCAACTTTCTCTCCCTGGTCTTTTACAGACTTTGCTTTAGTACCTGAGTGAAGTCCCAGTAAATCCCCATTCCTTTCTGCATAGCCTCCTTGCAGTTGTAAAGGCCCGGCTCTGTGTCTCTTTTCCCAGGGTCAGCTACACACCGGTTGTCGTTGTACTTGTGGGACTTGATGCCGCCGATATAAAGTTCACCGCTTGAGCGATAGTAGGTGAACTGTTAAAAAAAAAATCCCCACTTGAAAGGGCAGCTTGCTAAGAAGTGTAGACTGGATTCCACTCAATGACCAAGATTCAGACTTTTTTGCTTTCTTGCCTTTTATTTTTAAAATTGTCCAGGTCAAACCAGGTGAAAAACCTTGAAATACAAACACGAATGGAAGGTCAAAGAAATATAACCCAAGAAACCATAATCAATTCACATACCTAACATCACATACTTAATTTATAATCTACTGGAAATTAACCTCAAAATAAGTAGAAAGACAACCCAAATTTAAAGTATCCCAAGACTAAATTAAATACATTTTTAAAACACTATTTAATGATGATTTTAACCTTATAAACTTTAGCAGCTTTTAACTCTGCTGAATACACACAAATCAAGTTTTATCCAATTACTTTTAGCTTGAATACTTTTTAAAACACACATTAAATATATGGACATTTGATCTTGCATTTGATGCCATAAGTAGTCAGCCACTCAAAAAGCTCACCGGCTCCTTCTTCAGTCTTTGCAAGCTTTATTCCTGCAGTCTCCTCTTTCCAAGCTCTTCAATATCGCTTTCTCAAACTGCTCGCTCTTCACTGTCCTGTGAGTGAGTGCCTCCAACCCCCCTGATCGCCAGATCCTCTCCACCTGGTGCATTCAAATCTCCGCCGCCAGCCTGGGAGACACACCTAAATCTACCTCCCAGCCAGAGAGGGGCTCGGTCTGCAACTCAACTCAACACCTCCCACTCGATCTTCCCACGAGAACCGCTGGAAAGATCGCACACAGTAACCTTGTGGTCAGAGATCCCCTTTTTGGCCTCCTGCCTGCTCCTCCACTGGCAGCAGAACCACCAATCGTCGAACGTCCCGATGAAGAATTGTGGACTGAACGTCCCTCCAGATGCTGGAGGCAAGATGCCTGGATGCTGATGTTGCAGGTCTCACCTGTGGGATACAGGAGCTTGTCACAACTCTGACTTTCACATCCCGTACTATGCCTCTGGAGTCTGGGTTGACACTTATAACCCTCCCAAGCTTAAAGTTACCCCTCAATGCATTTTGGTCGCACAGCCAAACAATATCTCCGTCTGCAACATTCCTCTGTGTAGTGTGCCATTTACTCCTCACGAAGAGATTAGGGCCGGCAAGTTGGCTCCAGGAACTCCAGAATTTGTTGACCTGGTGCTGCATTTCCTGAAGCCTCTTATAGGGGTAGCTCGTAAACACAAATGTTTTCCAGTCACCACTCGATGATGCCCGCCCCAACAGGAGTGCATTGGGTGTGATGTACTGCACGGTGTCTTTACAGCTCTGCACCCTGGCATCAATGGGGCGCTCATTCGACAGATTAGCAGCGAGCTGAAGTGTCGTCTGAAGTTCGCTGTAACTGAGCTCTGATTCTCTCCCCAGACTCTGGAACGCCTTCTTCACAATCCGAACAGCTGCTTCAGCAGAGCCATTTCGATGAGGTGAATCAGCCGGCTGGATTTCCCAATGCCAGCTGGTTCCATTTTGAGCTGAAGTTTCCTCCACAGCAGGCCTATCCAGACCATCCAGAAACTGATACAACTCCTCCAGAACAGGTTTGGCACCAACAAAATTGGTCCCTGGGTCGGACCAAATCTTCTTAGGATGTCCTCGAATTGCTGTGAACCTCTGATAAGCCATCAGAAAGCTTTCAGTCGACATGGTGTTGGCCAGCTCTGTGTGGATTGCTCTACTGGCCATACAGCAGAATACGACGCCCGAAACCTTCATCCAGACTCTCTTCTTCACATCATCCTTGACCAGATACGGTCCAAACAGGTCAACTGCCGTGAATTCAAATGGAGCCGCTGGCCTGGTTCTCTCTTGAGGCAGATCACCCATCACTTGCCGACATCTTCTAGCTCTGGCTTTCTTGCAAATCACACAGTTTTCAATGATTTTTTGAGCAATTCTCCGTCCCTTGATGACCCATGCTCTCTTTCTCACTTTCAGTAGAGTCGCAGCTGTTCCCTCGTGACCCGTGCTGTGAGCTTCACGAACCAACAATGTTGAAACCCAGGCACTGTAAGGTAAGAGGGAAACACTAACTCGGTCTTCATTAAAAGCCTGGACCCTCCCACCACAAACTAGTAGCCCCGTTCCTTCTTCTTTGAAGACTACCAACCGGTCCGTTGTGGTTGTTGGAAAGGTCACGCCCTCTTGTGCAGCAAGAAAAAGGTCTCTTAAGGCGTCTTGGCGCTCTGTTGCAGTGATGACCCCGGCTCATGAAACTGCCTCCCACTTTGGAGTCCCCAAGATCCTGCTTTGAGCTGCAAAGCACTTAGCACAATCGCTTTAACCAGGTGAGTCAGGTTGCTGAACCGTCCTTCATCCACCAGGTTTCGGACAGCAGCACCAGCAAGTGGTCTCCGACACTCCAGGTCTGGTGGCCCTTTCTTCACCTGAGCTCTTGTGAGTACGGCAGTAAATGTTTTCTTTTGCATCTTTCCAACACTCTCTCTGGCAGTTGCGGATACGTCCTTTGCAGACTTAATTGGCCACTCATTTGCTGGTAAACTCAGGAACTCTGGTCCTTGCTGCCATGGTGAACCTTCATCCAAATCTTTTGGACCAGCCCCACGAGTGATAATATCAGCAATGTTGAGCATTCCAGGGATCCACCACCAATCCTGACGTTGCGTGCGGCCTTGGGTTTCTCCAATCATGTTGGCAAAGAATGTCTGAAAGCCATAGCTCTCACGTTGAATTGCACCAAGGACTGTTTGACTGTCAACAAAGTGGTACCACTGCTTGACTTGAATCCGGCCATGTTGCTCAAAGTACTTTTTTAACCGGGCGGCGAATACTGCTCCACAAAGCTCTGACTTGACTGCTTCCCCCTTGTGGTCCAAAGGCTTAGCTTTAGACTCCACCAGCCTCACCATGGACCCTTGGTCACAGGCCCACCGTAGGTACAGGACGGCACCATACGCATGCTCGCTGCCATCAGAGAAGGTGATTGCATCAGGTTCAGCCGGTGCACCCGCTGGCGTAAGGGCTCTATGAAACTTGACCTTACTCAGCTGGGCGTATTTTTCGAAAAGGCTGATGGCATCTTCTCTGAGCTTTTCTGATAGCGCAAGATCCCAAGTGTCTTTGCTGGTGCTACATTTGGGTTTGGCCTCTTGAAATGTTCTCCGAACCAAAATGGCCCCTTTCTGTTTCACAGGCGTTGTTAGGCCAATCGGGTCATATAGTCCAGAAACTTGGCTGAGTAACTCTCGTCGTGTCAATGGATCTGGCGTCTGAGCTCTCACCTGCTCCAGTCGAAGGTCTTGGCCAAGTCTCATTTTCTTCTTCCTTCTTGAAAAGTTTATCCCAACCATTACATGAAGCTTGTCATCTTCCAGGGTGTAGCCAAGGCCAAGGGCTTTGTTGTCCTCCTCTTTGAGCTGATTCGGCAGAATTACAGTCCTTGGAGTAACCGCCTGGTCGTTTCCAGACGACTCCCTCCTACTTTGGCCAGTGAAGACCCATGGCTTCAACTCAAACCCTCCTGCTTTGAGGATCTGCCCCACATTTTCCGTGATGACTTTAAGTTGGTCCAAGTTATCATGAGAGGTCAAGAGGTCATCGACATAGCGGTCTTCCTGCAGCACTCGACGCTCTTCCTCAAGATGGCTGAACTGTGGGAGGTTAGCAGTCTCTCTCATGGCCAGTTGAGCGATGCAGCCTGCTGGCTTGTCTCCAATGTTAACTCTCGTGACTGCATATTCACCCAGCTCTTCTTCCTCAGAGTCACGCCACAGGAACCTATGCAAATGCACCTCTTGATCTTCCAGCCACACTGAATTGTACATTCTCTTTACATCTCCTAAAGCAGCAAACCCTCCCCTCCGGAATTTAAGAAGCACAGCACGGATTGAGTTGAGGACGTCTGGGCCTTTCAGCAGGAGATCATTGAGACTCACCCCTCTGCACTTTTGACTGCTGTTCCAGACCAGTCTTACCGGAGTTGTGACGGAGTGTGGGTTGGGTGCGATGAGGTGGCTAATGTACCATACTGGGCCAGTCCATTCACGAAGTACGTCTTTGGTCAACTTCATTGCAGCCCTGCGCTCAACCATGTCGTGCACTTGAGCGGCATAGGCAGCCTTCCATTCTGGCTCCCTGGCCAGTTGCCTCTCAGTCCTCAAGAATGTGGCCTCGACTGCGCTCCTGTTGCTTGATAATGTGGCTGGATCTTCCACCCAGGGGTACTTGGTGTGCCAGTGAGGCCTCTCACTGTGGTCATCAGCTGCTACATATGTGAGCCCGCTCTTTACCACCTCCAGCTCCCTTTCTTCAGCGAGGGTCATTTCTTTGCCGCCTGGCTGACAGTTTCCGCAACGACAGCCCCCACATCTCGGAACACAACCAGCACCAATGCTTTCCCATTTCCACCAGTCGATGAGGCTGGATGTAGTAGCAGCACAGCTGGATATCTGAGGTTGGGCAGTTGGAAGTTGGGGCTCGCTGGCTTTGAGGAGGATGAATGGGGACTGTGCAGGTGTGTTCTTCATACTTTGCAGCAGCAGTTCTCATAGACCTGGCAAAGTGTGTCCTCGACGTATGGGCTGATACAGTGACCTCCTCAAACAGCTCAGGATGGGTGCCAGCAACTGTCTTCCCCATTGGTCCATCCCACAGTACGAGGTCCCCCACCGTTGGGATTTTCTGTGGAGCCAGTTGACCCTCCTTGTGACTTACAAGGAGCTGGATCTCTTTTGGCCTTGTCAGGTCGCTGAGCGGGACATCTGGGAAGAACTGTTGCAGTTTTCTGGCTGACACATGTCTGTGGATATCTGCAATGCGGTCTAAGCCGTAGCAAATCAGCTGGTGGGACTTGAGAGCGCCTCTTGAGGTGCCAACCCGGATTTTCAGGAGATACCGCTTTGTTTTAACAAAGACTTTCATGCCTCCCACCCCATGAACCACAAGTGTGATATCTTCACTTCTGAGATTAAGCCGACCTGCTGCCTCATGGGTGATATAATTGGTGTCAGAAGCTAGGTCGATCAGGGTCCCAATTCTCTGCCCAGCATTGGCTGTTACCTCCAAAAGCATCATGATGACGGGCCACTCCGCTAGGCCGCCCTCTGCCAGAAGACTTGAGTGACTCTTTGCGACGTGGGAGGTGCTTGTTGCTGTATTGCAGAATGCGTCCCGGCACTGTTGGGCCAATTCAGGGGAGAGCTTCCTGAATAATTCCTCCTGGGCTTCGGTGTAATCCCTCTTGTTGCCACCTCCCACTGCGCTGCTTTTGCTCCTCCTCTGGGCTGTGCTGCCTCTGGATGCTTCGGCATTGCGGCACAGATAGTAGTGGTGGTCTCTCCCGTCCTCGCACTCAGGATTTCTGCACAGAAATAAGGTTTTGCAGAGATTATGGATCATCATGGACCTCCAGGCATTTCCAGCAGGCTCCCAGTTTTCGCACTGCGTCCTTCTTCTCTGTGAGCTTGAGCACACGGAACTTTTTGCAGAAGTACAGCTTCTTCTTATGCTTAATGTCCCCACAGACGATACATCCTGAGAGATGGCTACCTGACTGGTTTGCAGCCCTGGTTCTGGCTTGCCTTTGCTCAGGCCGGATTTCTTTCCTTGGCAGCTCTTCGTCCCTCAATTGGTCCAGCTGTTCATAGATGTTCTCTTGACTCTTGAGGAAGGTCAGAAGACTGTCAAAGCGTTTCTCTGGAGGAGCCCTGCTCCTCTCAGCTGCATAGAGAAGCCACTCTTTCTTCAGTGCATCAGGAAGCTTGCTTTCGATTGCCTTTGTCACTAGAGGATTCTTTAAAGCACCGGTGTCACCAAGGTCACTCAGGTCTTGAAGGGCCTTTTCAACAGCTTGGATGAGCTCAACAATTTTCTTGGGCTGGTGACTTTTGACAGCTGGAAGTCTCTGGAGCTCCTCAACAATTTCGATGACAATCGCCGTTTGGTTTCCAAACCTGTTCTCCAGGACCCGAAGAATGTCATCTGCTGTGTTATAGGACATCAATCGAAGATCTCTCATTATCTTGTCATCCAATGAAAGTCTCGCCTGATGCCAGTGAACTTGGGGAGGGAGGTCGGCTTCAGTCTAATGGCTGATATTGATGTCGGGTAGCTGATAGAAGCTGCACTCACAACTCTTTCGGCGTCTTCTTTAGCTTTTGCTTCAATGAACTCTGCCTTTTTGGACATTAACTTGGGAACGATCTGCTCGAGCTCTCTTACACGCAGCTGGAGGTCTTTCTGCTCGGCAGGAGGGGCCCAACCCTTCCACTGTGTGTGCAGCTCCTTCGCTCTCTTAACCAGTCCTTCCATGTAGTCGAACATGAAGTCAAAGGCCTCTTTATTTCCACCAGGTTCAAAGGAAATCACACTCTTTACTTTCTCCTCTGCAGCCTGTAGCGCCATCATCAGTTCCTCCTCTCCGAAATTAGCCCAGAGTGTCTTTCGAATGAGGTCCTCTCTTCCAATTTCATCTCACACTCGCTTGCAGTTTTCCCAATATCGGCCTTTTGCTGCTTGCTCAACCCGGGAACTTCATCAGGATCTGCTTCCAGCTCCACTTCTGCAAGGTACTGGGCCTCCACATCGTCATTTGCTTCCATGACTTTGTTGGCCTCAGTCATGAGCCTTTTGAAATGGTCTCTGAGCTCCTCTTCAGCCATTATGGCGTGCATCCGGACAATGTTGTTGGACAGCCGGGAGAATTGTCGCTTTGCAGACGTCCTACTAGCTTTAAGCTGCTCCAGTGACTTTGAGTCAGCCATCTTCCTTTTCACCAGGATTCGGTGTGGGTGGGGTGATCTTCAGTGTTACTAGGCCTCTGGACTTCCAGGCCTGGCCAGTTGCAGTTCAGGATACTTCGCTCCAGTCTTCGCACC